TCCACTCTCCACAAACAGAATGATCTTTCTGAAACACAAACCTCATTATGACTTTCCTGTTTATAAGCCTTCAGAGGTCTCTATTATCCTTAGGATGAAGTCCAAAATCTGTATCCTAGCTTCAAATGCCTTTTGTGATCTGGCTTATCTCTACATTTTCACCCTCATTGCAACCTCACACTCTCCTCTCCAGCTATACTCAGCTAATTTCAGTTCTCCAAAGGCCCCAAGTTCACTCTCTAACCTCCAAGTCATTGTATATGCTATTCCCTCTGCCTGAAACATTTTTACCCTTTTGTCTTTTGCTTGGCTAACTTACTCATTCTTCATACGTCAGCCAAGTTCAGATTCTCCTGCTATCTACATGCTTTTGTAATCCATCGATCTAGTTCTCCTGCACTATATTGTACTTGCTTAGTTGCCTTCCATGCTCACCTCTGTAGATCAAAGATGATGTCTACTTTGCCCATCTTTGTACCCCTAGGGCTGGCACATGATATGCAAATAAGTATTTGGTGAATAAAAGAATGATTATCTCCAATTCACAGATTAGCAGTCTCAGGCAAATAAAATAAAATAAGTAATTCTCCCAGAGATTGGAACCCAGGTCGACCTGAATCCAAGGTCTGTCTTCCCAGTGCTCCACAAAGCTCAGTCACACACTAGCCTACTGTACCCAGTAGCCCAAAAGAGAGAATGTAGGGGACATTCCTAAGGAAGGGTAATTTGTCACACTGAGAGATGCTTTTCATCAGAACTGTTTGCTTTCAGGAAACCTGGGTTTAAGTCTCCCATAACCAAGCAAGTGCTGCTCTGGGTCTGTTTCCCCACCTATGAGTGTCCAAGGGGGCATGTCTTAGGACCTCCTAGCCTGCCTCAATGACTAGAGATTCAAATCTTCAAACCCCTCTTTTTCATTTATCCTAGATCCCCATCTTCCAGGACTCATCACCAACCACCCACCTCCCATATCTTTACCCACACCAGCCCTTCTACTAGTTGAAAAGAATTGAAATCAGAGTAGTTACAATCCCCCAGCCCAAACCAGCTCCCAAATCCACAGAGTTAGGAGATGATCATCTTCGTCTCTTCTCTCAGGTTTTATTGACTGATGGAAACTACATCTTTGTCAGCCACCAGCTCCACAGGGACAGTTCTTGGGACAGGGAACCTGAGATGATGCCAGATATCAGCCTGAGAGCAAACAGAGTTCCAGAAGGTGACCCAAGAGGGAGAAGAGAGAGAGAGATGTGAAAAGGCATTGTAGGGGAGAGGAGAAAGAAATAAATTCCTCCTGCCTGCTACAACTCCCAGAGTTCAAGAACAACTCAGGCCTTAGCCTCTGATGCTTTTGGACTCCTGCTCAAAAACATGGAATCAGTCCATGATCTGGAAACCAAGCCCAGCCCTTGCTGGATGCCGGGTGCTTATCTCAGCCGGTCCAGACTCCAGCCCAACCCAGGAAGGAAGCAAACCAGAGGAGGAGAGAAAAGGAGTATTAGAAGTGGCCTCTCCAATTAGGGCAGATGTAAATGCTGCAGCAAACTGGGTAGAGGCTTTGCATAACGTCATGGCAGCAGCTGCTATTGCTAGTTTGCTGGGGACCCAGCAGAGGACAAGGTTGCAGGGACCCATCTCCAGCATCAAGGGAAGAGGGGGTAGTGTTTGTGCTATCTGTGTGTGTTGGGAGAGGCTGCCTGACTCCTGAGCCAAAGCCTAGGTGTAGCAGGTCACTGCTGAGGCCACAGCCCATGAAGCCTGTGGTTCCATTTCAAGCTTCAGAATCTGGGAGTTGTTGGGCCTGGTGAAGGGTGGGGATCTCTCTCAGAGGCCAGATCAGAGGTGACAGTTCTTTTCTCTGAACCTCCAAACCTCCACAGCCCAACCAGAGAGAGGAGAAAGTCTCACCTCTCCTTCTCAGGCCAGAGTTCAGATATCAGGTGGGAGCCTGAGGGCCTGAGGGGAGGATCATGCAGGAGGCCAGCTGGGGGAGAGGCTTAATCCCAGTGTGCTGGGGCAAGGAGGACAGGGTCCTGAGGAAACCCAGTGATTCAGCTCCTACCAGGAAAACTGGGGTGGGGAAGTATCCCATTCCCGGGCTATGTCCCCACAAGGTGGGCCATTCCATGAAACTCCATTGCATAGTTCTCAGTGGGGGGCAGAAAGGGTTCCCAGGCCTGCCCTTGTTTGCCTCCCCAAAATACGGCTTTGGAAAGGAGTCTCCAAGAATTAAGAGGGCCCTCTCCATGGGTGCCCCCCCCCTCACAGGGAAGAGATCTTGACAGTCTCAGGGAGGGTACCCAAGCTAGAGTTCCTGAGGGTGCTGCTGGCCCCACCGCTGCCACCACCACCAGGGGAGGAAGGTTGGCTCTCATCTGGGGTGTTGGCAGGAGGGGTAGGGATACTGATGATGGCAGCCACGAAGTCCCGGCTGTCGCAGTTCAGGTCAAGGCTGTCATGGGGCTTGGCATTGAGGCTTGAGCGGCTGTGGATAAGGGTGAGAAGATGGAAGGTTCTTAAAAAGTCATCTTAATACTTGCCACAGTAATCATGAAATTTATTGAGTACCTATTGGGTCGCTGACACTGTGCTAAATACTTCCTCTGCACCCTCAATTATGGTGGTGCAGAGTAAGGGCTCTGGAGTCAGACAGTCCTGGGTTTGAACCCTGGTCCCACTTTTACCACTCTAAACTTTTTTTCTCTCAATTGCAGCTTGGTAATAACAATATGGAAGTCCTCAATGTCATCGATATGTTCTGTGGTTTTAAGTAAAATGACATGTAACAAAACCAGTTTTACCATAGGCTAATTAATATAAATGAGTGTTAAGTTCCTAGGCATCTCATCAATGTTTTAACAAAATGACGTTATTTAAGAACCTGATCTATTTCCTGTCATGGGGTCTTGTGGTGATTAAATGAGATAATAAATGATACAAAGTGCTCAGAATAGTGCCTGGAATATAACGAGCAAACACATACAAAAATCTTATTATGCTTACACCTTACAATGCCAGAGTCCTCACGATGATCTACAGTAAGCGCTGCACAATCTGGTCCCTGATCCTTTCTGATTTTACTTCTTACCACTCTCTGCCTCACTCATTCCACTCTACTCACAGTAGCTTCCTGGCTGTGTCTCTTGTTAGAGACATACAGACCCATTCCTGCCTCAGGGCATTTGCACAGACTGTTTGCTGTGCCTGGAAAGCTCTTCCTCTAGACATCTACATGGCTTACTCCCTTACCTCCTTCAGGTCTTGGCTCAGATGTTACTTCATCAAAGCCTTCCCTAACCACATGATTAAAACTACATCACACCCTGTTCTACACAATTTATCCCCCACCCATGATTTATTTATCTCCTTGGCATTTGACACACTACATCATCTGTGTATCTGTTTGTTTATTAATGGTCGCATCTCACTAGATTATAAATTCCAGAAGACCAGGGATTTCTGCCTGTTCTATTCACTGCCTAAAGTGAACTAAATTCCTACACTCCTAAAGTGAATTCCAAAGTGCCTAAAACTATGTTTGGCATATAGTAAGTGCTCAATAAATGTCTGTTGAAAGAATGAATGAAGAACAAGTCGTTCCAGCTCCCAGCATGGAAGAGTTTGGGTGTGAGCTTGACACTTGCTAGGCCCGGAGTCATGAAATCTCAGACTCTATGGTCTAAGCTCTGAACTTCTCCAGGGGTGGCCAGCGTGGAGGGTGCTTACCTCTGAGGGGCGGGGCTCCTCCGCAACCCTGCCAGCGTGTCCAACTCCTGCATGCTGCCATGGCTGACCGAGGCAGTGGAGTTGGCAAGGCGGATGGCACGGCGCTTGGCCCTGCGGGGGCAGCAAGAGGATAGCAGGCTGCCAGGCCCCACTGGCTGGGAGGACACAGAGGTGCTGCGGCTGGTGCGGCCACCCAGTGATACAGCACCCAGAGTCTCGCTGAAGGTTAGCTCATCTGTGAACTCATGGCACTGTGGGAAGAAGGAAGGCACCACAAGGAAGGTCACAAGGCACCACACAGGAGCTACTCCCAACCCAGGCCTTTGCTTATGCCGTTCCTTCCTTTCTGGAAGTCACTCTCTCTTCTCATCCCTTGCCCACCCTTCAAGGCTCAGCTCTATTGGGGCCTCTTCCAGGAAGCCCTGCAATTTCCACAATTAATAGTGAGCTTCCCATCCTACGAGGGAGCTGGCTTAGTGGCCAAGAGACCCCCTTCATGCTGCCATGCTACCTCTCATTAGGCCTCACCGTTGTCTTCTCTAGACAGTGCAACAAATGATGATGTTGCTGCTCAAAAGCAGAACGGTTCCTGACATACAGCGCCTGTTCCTCCCCACTGCCACTGTCCTGGAGTGGATGGAGCAGAGGGATGAGGTCAGTACCTTCCTCCTCCCAGCACTGCTCATGCCCAACCCCAATATGAACCCTACCCACCTCAAGGCCCCCATTCTGCTTGTACTGCAGGAAGGCATTGGTGGTACCACTCTTTGCCAACCGGATCCTTGCCAAGCGTACCTTCTACAGAGAGAGGACAGAAAGAGCCAGGTGGGTAAACACAAGAGGTGAATGACTGGCTTGGGGTGGAGGGAATAGGAGGTGCTCAGATGGAAGGCGCAGCTACCTGCTGTGCTCGGCGCTTGTCAGCACGCTGGTTCTGGTGGTAGATGCGGCTGAAGTTGGACACAATGACTGGCACAGGCAGGGCAATGACCAAGACACCACTGAGTGAGCAGATGGATCCGAAAATCTTGCCAGCAATGGTGCTGGGTACCATATCTCCATAGCTGGGGTCGGAGGAGGTAAGCCAAGGTCAAGAAAAGTGCCCAGCCACCCCTCAGTCCCCCACTCCATTATATCTAACCCAACTCACTGTGACCCTGGCCAGGCACTAAAATTCTGAGCCTCAATTTCTTGCTCTGCAAAATGTGAGGAATATGACCTTTCTGGCCACAAATCAGGGTGAAGTGAGAAACAGGCCCTCAGTCCCTACCATCTGCTACCCCCATCCAAGCTGCGCACCAGGCATCTGAGTCATAGGGAAATCTATTAACACAGCCAGTAAACATAACCTCCTGGGAAGAGAGTTCCACCACCATAAGCCAGATGAGGGGCTCTGAGTCCCGGGAGCAGTGCTCTGCTGGTTTTGCTTGAGTTTGTCCTATCTTCCATAGGTAGGAACCCTTCTTATTCTCCCAGGGGAATCCTTGAAACTGTCCTCATATGAAAAAATAGTGGGGAGCCTTAAAACTCCTCCCTCCCTTTCTCCATGCTAACCCCCTTCTCATGGAGATGGAACAGAGCCAATCTTACCATCTTGTTTCACAGAAGAGGCAAAAACTGAAGCTCAGGGAAGTTCCACAACTGACTTGCTCAAGATCACACAGCATACTTTTGTCCTAACTAGAGGACTAATCAGATCCCCTCCACAAAAGTGCAGCCTCTACAGTTTTAAGCCTCTAGGCCTTTGCTCAAGCTGTGCCTCCTCCCACACATCCACCAGGATGGCTCTTCCTCATTTCTTCATTTTGACTCATTTAAAAGTCCCTCCAACTTGATCATTTCTGGTTTTGTGATGTGTCATCTGAGACTATGTCCTCAACTAGGTGACATGGGCAGCCGCTCACTCTCCCAGGGTTAAGACTGAATAGGGTAAAAGGCATCAAAATATCCAGTTCCAACCCATTCTGGAGGTTCAGTATTTGTTGACACAATCCTGAACCTCCAACCAGAATTAATTTCTACTCCTTAGAAACCTCAAATCAATTTTTCTGTACCTCTATTAAGGCACTGAGCAAGCCCGATTCATCCACTCAACAGATACTGAGTAGCAATTGTATACCTAATCCCGGTGATGGAAATTTAGAAAAGGATCACAGTCTCTGCCCCAGACAGTGCAAGAAAAACATGAATTTGGTGATTCCATTTGATGCTTTTATCTCAACAATTCCCTCTCAAGGATTGGCAGTAAAAAAAAAAATGCTGAAAGTATGTTGTTCTGGGGAACATCAAGGAATCACAAAGCCACAGAGGTAGTGCCCCATACAGCAGATGATTCTAAAGGTTTCAGAGCCGTGGGTCCTCAAGATGGAAAAGAAGGTGATAGAAAGCCAATACCTATTCATCCTGCACCAGAAACTTTCGGAGAACTTTCACAACCATGATGTCACAGAAACCCCTCAAAAGGGATCATTTCTCATTTTACAGAGGGGAAAACAGGCCCAGAGAAAACAAGGTCAACAAAAAGAGTACAGCTAAGACAATCCTTGAACTCCAGTCTTTTGACCTGGGAAATCAAGGCACTGTCAGAGCTAGACATTTGAAGATTAGTCCAACTCCCTAAGTTTTTACAGATGAGCAAACAAGCTCAAATGGAGAGAATAAGATAATTTACCTAACCTTCTTACTTTTACAGGAAAGATGAGTGTTATTGACTGATTGGGCAGCTCCCAACTCAAGGTCTGCACTCACCCAAGTGTGGTCATGGTGACAATGGTATACCAGAAGGCTGCAGGGATGCTAGTAAAGTTGGTCTTGTTTGTGCCCTTTTCAGCATAAAACATGACAGTGGCAAAGATGATGATGGCCATGGTAAGGGAAAAGAGGAGAAAGCCCAGCTCAGAGGCACAGCTCTTGAGTGTGTAGCCCAGAATCCGTAATCCCTGTGAGTGCCGCGAGAACTTGAAGATGCGGAACACCCGGAACACACGCAAGGTGACAAAGGCACCAGAGACATCCTCATTCTTGGGCACAAAAAGCCCGATGTAGTAGGGCAGGATGGCCACCACGTCGATGAGGCTCATTACACTCCGCAAGAAGCGGCAGCGGCTGGGGGCAGCAAACAGCCGCAGGAGGTATTCACCCGTGAATATGAGCACACAGGCCGTGTCCATGCAGAAAAAGGCCAGCGGGAAGCGGTCGCCACAGGGCTGCTCCCTCGAGGGCCGCCGTGCAGGGCCACGGCACGGGATGGTTTCAACCACGTTGGCGATGACCGACACGGCTATGAAAAAACCGGTCACATAGTAGAAGACGAGGGCCGCAGTGCTCGTGTGTGGGTTCTCGAAGGCCCGCCAGAGCCTCTGGCGCAGGGAACTGCCAGCTGGCAAGGCTGGCCCGTCTCCGGCCTTTTCGGCCTCCTCGTCTTCCGCCAGGCGCTCGGCGTTCTCCTTCTTGCGGTCTCGGTACTCTTCGAGGCAGCAGTCGCCGACGAGTTCAGGCACCAGACCATAGAAGGCCAGCTCTTCATCGAAGGCCTGGATGCACTCCTGCCGCGGGCAGTGCAGGCGGCCCGTTCGGTAGAAGTTCAGCACGTGCCGGAACATGTCCGGGTCGCGATCGAAGAAGTACTCGCCCAAGTCGGCATCGTAGAAGAATTCCTTCTCTGAACTGCCCAGCAGGGTGTCTGGGTAGCGGTCCAGAGTGTTCTTCCAGGTCTCAAAGCGCCGTCCACTCACGTTCACCACCAGAACCTCATCCCCTCGAGAAGCCTTCACCCCTGGTGCCGGGGGCAGGGGCTGCTGGGCCAGGGGCAGCCAGCCCACTGCGGCCGCCCGTGCAAAAGGCAGCCACGTGGCCACGCCTGCCGCCATCCTGCCGTGCGCCCCAGGCCCTCGGAGACTTGGGGGGTGGCCTTTAGGAGAACGTGGCTGTCTCCAGGATGGTAGGGGCTTGGAGAGGCCCTGGGCCACTCGCACAAGGAAACTGGGGGTGTCTAGAGAGGCCGAGAGGAACCTGGAGGAGGTACTAAAGACAGGGGCAGGGGCTTGGGGGGCATTTAGAGTGTCTGGGAGGTACCTGGGGGATGAAGTGGCTAGGGGACATGGAGAGGAGCAGAAAAGGGGCGTCTAGACTGGCCAAGAAGGTATCTGAGGGAGTGTATTGAGAAACAGATAATTCTAGAGGGGTGCGCATGTATTGGAGAAATATTTAGGGATACCAAGTAGAAACAAGAAACACTGGGGAGCTAGCCAGTCTCAAGAGTTCTGAGGCAATGAAGAAGGGACTAGAACCCCTTGGTGGGTTTGGAGAGGTGATTGGGGCATCCAGAGAGGTAGAAATGGAACTAGAGGTGTTTGAAAGAGGCTGAGAATATCTGGAGGGAGGTTCTAGAGGGGCTGAGAAAGGTGAGGAGAGTTGTCCACACCCTCAAGATTTCTGGGGAAAAGATAATGGGGTTAAAGTCCCTTTGGGGACCTAGGAAAGGGATTGGTGTATCTAGGGGGTGCCTATAGAGCCAGGAGGCTGTAAAGAGGCCGACAAATGTCTGGGGAGTGCCTAGAGCTGCCAAGAATAGCCTGAGGGGGGTTGTCTACATTCTACAGGAGTTCAAGGGAAGGAAGGAGAGGTGGGGCCCCCAGTGAGGCTAGGGAAGGGAGTGGGGTATCTAAAGGGGGAGATAAGGACTAGGTTATTTTTCAGAGGCTAAGAGGTATCTGGGGGAGAGGGGTGTTTGGGGAAACTGAGAAAGCCTCATTAACCCTCTCAAGTGTTCTACAGACAGGAAAGGGGTCTGAGGAGTCCCAAGGGGCTGGGGTTCAACTGGAAGGAAGTTGGGCACAGACCCAGAGCACCCAGAAGATTGAAAACTACTAAGAGGAAGAGGGGTTTCTCCCAAAAATGGGTTGGAGGATGGGTTGGGGTGTTGAAAAGGAGCTGGGTGTGTCTCCAGGAAGGGGGGGCTGCTGGGTCTTGCAGGAGGCTGGCGGGGGAGGCCAGGATAAGGGTGCATCCCACTGGGGACTGGTCTGGGGAAACCACACCCCGAAGGGCTGGTGGTGTGGGCTGGGCAGCTGCAGTAGCAGCAGCCGCAGCAGGAGGAGGAGGAAGAGGAGAAGCAGCTACAGCCAGGCCTGGGAAAGGAGAGGGCAGCACAGGCAGAGGAGGGGACTGGGTCCCTGGAAGGAGGCTCTGGAAGGACAAGGTCCAGCAGGATCCCGAGAACTGTCCCAGGATGGGCTAGGGAATGGGGGCTGGACCAGAGAAGGGAAAGGACAGCGTTGTTAGTGGCTCCCTCCCACCCCCCATAGGGCCGACCTCACCTGTGTCCCCACTGCAGCAGCGGCAACAGCAGTGGGACTGGGGGTACCAAACACCGGAGCTCCTGCCCCCCTCTGCAGAGCTGCCCGAGTTCTCCTTCTCCTCTGGCTCTCTCTCCCCGCCCCTCTGAGCTTGCTGGGAGATGGAGAGGCAGGGAGGGGCCTTTTGGCTCCCACAACCCCCTCCCCTAGGATTGCCTGAGAGAGACCCTGGGGAGACTCCGCCTCCTACAAAGCTGGTTGGGCCTCAGTCGCGTCATCTGGAAAATGGGGGTGGTAGGGAGCTTTGCCAGTTCTCCCCACCTCCTTCCTGGATTGTCCCCTCTTCCTGCTCAGCTCCTACCCCCTCCACCCCTAGGGGCCCCCACCCCCACCCGTCTGAATCAGCAGCACTTAGCAGATGTGATCGATGGGGAGGAGTCTGTTAATGGCCCTAGAATGGAGTGCCATGGGGAATGATGCAGCGTTGTGTCCCCTCCCTGCCCCCAAGGCTGGAGAAGGGAGGATGGGAGAACTAATGGGGGGGCATTTCTTTAGACGGCTAGGCCCCCAAAGCTGCTCTCTGTGGTGGAGTGGTGTGGATTAGAACCCAGCTCTAAACAAGACTGCTTCAGTGGGACTGGAGCACCATCCAAATGTCTTCACATGTGAAATGGGGGGTAAGAGGAGTGCAGATAGTGACAAGCTAGGTCCTACCCCTATACCAGGTTTTCTCCCAGGCAGGCCCCACTCTGAGGGGAAGTCTCCTTCATCTGTCCACATCCAGAAGCCTCAGATCATGCCTCCTCCCCTAGAGGGCCCTGTTCCTGGTGGCAAGAGCACTGGGAATCCAGTGCCTCCAGCATGGATGGGTTCAAATCACAGTTTTGCCACGGACTTGCTGTGTCCTTGAGCAAGTGACTTGCATTGTTTCTTCAGCTGTCAGATGGAGAGTTACCCCAACTTGTTGGTGTTGTTGGGAGCATTAAATGGAGTGATGTGAAAGGGGATGGCACAGGGCATGGCACACAGAGGCCTCATCTTTAGTAATTAAAGGTGTGTGGCACTGGGGAGCAGTAACGCAGGGCCAATTTTAGCCTTTCGATTGATTTACCTCCATGTAACCCTCCATTCACTCACTCATCACTCCTGATTTGTCCATTTCTCCATTCTACCACCCACCCACCACCCAACTACACATCCATTCTGCAACTCACACAACCAATTACTCTACCCATCCATCTGTCCATTTAGTCATTAATCCACCCACCCACTCACTCATCCATTTGTAGTCACTCCATCCACCTAACTATTCACCAACCTATCCATATGTATCCCTCTCTCCATCGATAGTCTTACCCATCATTTATTTATTCACCTACTCTTCCCATTCATTAGCTCATCCTTTCATCTGCCCACTTATCCATCCAGACATTTTCCTAGCCATCCGTCCCCTTACATCCCCACCTGTCCATCCTGTACCTATCCACCTACCAATCCATCCATTTATTCATCCAATCACCTATCCATCCACCCATTTATTTTCCAACCTACTCATCATCAATCCATGCAACCTTTCACTTATTTATCCATTCAACCACTTATCCATCTTCCCACCTGTCCACTCATCCACACCCACATCCCATACACATCCACTCACATACATATCTGCAGATATTTCTGCTCCACTGAGTTTGAGGAGCCAGTCAGCAATAACTGGAGATAGGCTAGGTGAAGGCGGGGAAAGGAGAGTAAAGTTGTGACCAGAGACCTCCCTCTCCATTTCAGTGGTGTGACGTCACCAACCTTAGCACACCCTACTTGGAAAGAATGAGAGCAGACAGTCAGTGGGTAGGCCTGTCTGGCAAGATGGTATTTTGGCTGCATAGCCTTTACACACACACACACACACACGTTACTAGAATGCTGAATGGGGACCGTGCCCCACCCAACACCCCCAATCCCAAATGCAGAGTAGCCAGGCTTCCAGACATAAATTAAAAAATAAAATAAAATAATAAAATAAAATAAAATAAAATAAAATAAAATAAAATAAAAAGGAGTTGGTCTTGGGGTGGGGGCAGGGCTCATGCAGAGATGAAGGCAAAGGCCCCTGGGAACCAGGGTCAAGGGGGAAGAGACATCTCTGCCCCTCCCCCCTCAGAGTCCTCACTCCCCAGGGACCACTCCCTAACACAGGTTCATTAACATTAGCCATCAGGCCTCCAACCTCTTTAATGTCCAGTCTCCCAACCTATTTGATTTTGGCCCTGGCCCCCATTTCCCCACCACAGCCCAAAGGAATGGTATCTTGGGGAGTGGGGAGGAGAGGGAGTGGGGGCAGCCTGCAGGTCTTTAGCTGGTTTCTCTTGCTTCTAGGTCTGGGTCAGGGGACCCCACGCACTCCTTGCTGAGCCGCACAATTTCCTGGGACAGAACTTCCATATCCTAAGAAACAAACAAACCATCAGGGCCAGAGAAGGTGGCAGAGGTGTCATCTTTCTCACCCCATTAAACAATGACCAGTTATGTCTATCCTGGGACAGGAAGGTATTTGGAGAAGCTCACAGAGCCCCCAGCAGTGGGCTGGGCTCAGGAAAGGTGTATGTGTGAGGGGGTGGGAGCCTCTGGAGCTAGAGATATGGAAATGGGAGTAGATTGCCTGCTGTGCATGGTATGCTGGAGGATATGACCCCCAGCCCTTGCCACCTTCTTTCTACTAAATGTTGAGCTTGCTTCTCAGAATCAGGGGCCAGGTCTACATCCTTTCTGACTCCCCCAGAGATGGTGGAAATATCTGGACAGCAGGATGGGCAAGTGGACATATGAGTAGATGCATGGGGGGAATCCATGGTAGGCAAATAGGTGGACAAATGGAGGACAACAGGTAGGCAGGCAGGTCTCTGGGCAGGTGGGTAAAAGCTAAGACAAGGGTGATTGATGAATATGTAACAAAAGAGAGAGCTGTAGGTCAGAAAATAGGTGGAAAGACATAGGGCAGATTATTAGATGGCTAGGGGGCAGATGGACAAATAGTACGGTGGGCTGATGAGAGACTTGGGTGAATGTATGTATAAATGGATGAGTGAAGTGGATGCAAGCACAGAGGGAAGAGTGAACAGCTAAACTGACAAGAGTAAGTTGACTGGAGGATGGGAAAATGATGATGAAGGAATGGTTGGTGAATGGGGTAGGTAAATGGCAGGACTAGCAGATGATGTAGGGGCTGTGTGGCTGGGTAGGCAGGTGGCTGGATGGACAGATGGGGAGACTGGTAGGCCACACTTGCCTTGTGTAGGTGCATATTCTTGGTGAGCTGCTCCTCCAGCATGTTCTGTAGCTTCTTGTTCATCTCCCGGAGGTTCTCGTCACCTGGCTTCACTAGGTCTCTCAGGACGCTGCCCAGCCCACTGCGGTCTGTGTGGCCTGCTGCCACGGATACATCTGCAAGGGCTCAGGCTGAAAGCCACCCCCTCGGCAGAGCCAGAGGAGAGACAGCCAGAGACGGAATAGAAAGAATGGCAGCAGAGCAGGGGAGAAAAGTAGGGGGACAAGCTATGTCACGTAGGAGGCAGAGGCTTAGTCATGTGCACCTTGGCTGTCACTTACTAGCTGAGGCCCTGAGAAATGGAGATAGTAACAACTAACTCATGGAGCTGGAAAAATGTATATGACTATATATGAAGCACAGAGCACAGAGCTCTCAGCACATGTCAGTCAGTATTATTCTGATTCATAAGAAAGGGGGAGATGAAAAAGAGATGGGGGAGGGGGAGGAAAGAGGAAAAAAGAGGAAAGGGGAGGGAGAGGAGAAAGGTGAGGAAGGGATAAGGACCCCAAAGGATACACATACAAAGAAGGAAAATTTCCAGGGATGGAACAATATAGCCAGGAACAGTGAGACAAGATGAAGGGGGGATGGTGCAGAAAGAGACAGGGAGGAGAGAGAAGATGGAGAGAGAAGAGGAAGAGACATAGGGAGAAGAAAGGAGTAAGAGGACAAGAGACACACTAGAGAAAGAGTGGAGAGATGACAGAGACCAGGAGAGGAGGGAGGAACCAAGATAAGAGACAGAACAGAAAGAGAGACACACAGGTATGTTCTCCCTTCCACCAGCTGTGGTCTTGTCAGTAACTGCTGAGTTCCAAAGGGAGAGGAGAGAAGCCACAGCACTGGACAGTGGGGAAGGAGGGGACAAGTGAGAGGCTGGATGAGGAGCGAGGGCTGGGGAGGGGGCACTGACCGATCCGGCTGTCCATGACGTAAGTCTCAATAATGGCACTCTTCCGGCAGAGGTCTTCTGCCATGGAGGCGCTGCTCACCTCCAGGTGCTTCACCTGTGGGGTGGGCCCGACCTACCTCAGACCCCTCGACTGAGCATGTTCACACATGAGAATGGGCTGGCTGAACATCAATCACCCCCCGCCCCAGCCTCCTTGCCAAGGATAAGCCAAGTAGGGACAAGCAGGCAGACAGTACCTTTTCCTCCAGCATCCATTTCTCCTGCTGCATCTCTGCCAGACGCTGAAAGAGCTCAGCCACTTCCTCATCTGACAACTCTGCTGGCCGCAGAGGCTGGGCCTGAGGGCTGCTGGATAAGGACTGCAGGGAAGAGGAGGGAAGAGGCCAGCCTGGGCTCAGTGCTGCTGCCCCATACAGATCAGGGCTGAGAAGAACCACCAAGTTAGGGGGCGGCTATCCGCCTAGGACCATAGGCAAGTCTTGGCCCCCTCAGAGACA